ACCTCAAACATCTATAAACGACATAAAAACGTTTGAATATTTTGAAAATCACTTCAGGTTTAGAAAGTGATAATATAAAATGTATTCGACAAAAATGTCTAGTATGTACAATATTTTTTAACTGAATAACAAAAACAAAAAAATCGAAATCTAGAATTTTATTTAATGTTAAATTAGCAATTAATTTCCAAAATTGCATTTAATGTAATTAATAGCCTTTTTTAACAGACGAGATCAAGATAAAACAAAAAAAAAAAAAAAAAAAAAAAAAAATGTTTTCAGTCACGGCCTATATATGTCGTGAATATTATAACAGGTGTTATCACATGATGGGAACTTACTCCCTTATAAGTTATATTTATCATTGCCTCTACTGGTAAGTAGCCATAATGATACAACTTGTAGCCAATTCGAATCATGTCGAAAATGAATTTTTGGTATTTTTTTAATTAATTATTCAACAATTATCGTATTTAATTGTATTTCATTGACATTTATATTTATTTAATTTATAAATAAATAAGAGGATTATTTAGGATATTAATTTAGTAGGAGGGTTTCCTCTATTAAAATAAATTATTTCTATGTAAAAAGACCTGTTTATAACTATTTTTTCACTATGTATTCCCCTTCATTTAATTTTTCACATTCAGTCGCGTTTTACAATACACATTTCATTATGCTCCAGGCAATGCATTAATTATTTAATTAATTTATATATATATATATATATTTACGAGTATAAACTATTTAATAATTTTGTTTTACTTTATTATTTTATTATTTATATTTATTATTAAAATAACGTTACTTTTTTGATTAAAAAATCATATTTAAATGTATATTTAAGGTTGTTTAACCGTAAAAGCGATCGAATTCTAATGATAATTCGCTAATGTCAAAATTAAAACTATATTTTATTTATTAGAAGTATTTGCATTACCCCCTTCACAGAATGCTGCGTATCTCTAATATTGATGATACTGCCCCAGGGTGATTTTAAGGCTTCACTTATCAATTTTCTATATTTTAAATCTCTATAACTTGGTTATATTTGTAAATATTCTCATATACTTTGTTGTTATCCACAATGTTCCTTATGAATATTGCCGTTAGGCGTTAATTTTCAAAAGTAAATAAATACTACAAAGCTATGCGGGACAGACGCACAAAAAGCACACATCATAGTAAAACTGTACATTTCTCGTTACCCACGCTTAGAGTCCAAAAGTTTAATAATCTCGGATTTAATGACGTAACAAACATATATATATATATGTATATCATATCGTATATGTTATGATCCGAATGGTTGCCTCTTCCATTTTTTTTTTTCCAAAACCCAAATTTAATTCATTTTCCAGACCACCGTCGTCAGGAAAATATTTACACAAACCATATTTCAGCGCCAGTTCGTCGCTTTTCTATATACTATTATATAATAAAAATAAATATTTTTTTAAAAATATAATATATAATATGAGCTTACCTATATAACTCGACTGTATACCGTTTATTTCCATTTCAAATATATACAATGTTTAATGCATATTGTAAGTATATAATAATATTGGAAGATACAAATGTGACGATTTATTTCAAAGTGCAAAGGTGCATATCTCTCTCTCTCTTTATATATATATATATATAGGCATTTTCAAAATTAGATAATTTATATTCTACGGTTTTTTTTTTTACGATACATAAATTGCACATTTTATAGACACGTTCCCGGAAAAGATGGACCTCTTTTTTTTTTCATTTGATACTTCAATTTTTCTTTTTTTTTCTTTTTCTCAAATAAATCACTTTTAATATATTTCGTGCCGTGAAGTTTATAGCATAATATCATAATATCATAAACTTATACACCCTCAACTTCTCGAAACTAAGCCAATTTATTCGGTAAATTTAATAACAAAACGCAATCGTGTGTACCCTAATATAACTTGTTAATCTATAAACTGCACAACATCTAAATATACCTATGCATATTCCAAATGAACTAATCGTATTGCTGATGGTATTATTATTATTAATTATAATATTATATTGTAATTTATACTACATTCAAAATATGGTTTATCACCTCCTGTAAGCAAACTAGCCTGTGTTTGAGGCTGAGAGTTAGTTATGCCTAATGCTTATGAAGAATAACATCTTAAATGAAAAATATAATTTTAAATGACTGCTAATAGACAACAGATAATATACAATGTATCACAAAACATAATTGTAAAACTAAGATAGATTAAATACAAATAGCGTATACAAAGAAATGTAGATAAAATACACGAAAGTCGTGAATAAAATATAAGATAAAGTAGCAATAAATAGCTCTCCGTTTACATAATAATAATTTGTTTAGAAAAGATTGCTTTCCTGTGAACCAAATCTCATGAATTATCGAAAAAAAAGAACACAAGTATCGTCAGCATACGTTATTATTGACCCATCAATTTGCACATCGCATATACTATTTATGTGCGTTATAAATAACACCGGTCCATGGACACTCTCTAGAGGTACATCAAAAATGAGTGTTTTATCATTCCCTAATATATCATTTATTTTAACCTCCTGTGTCCTATTATTTAAAAGGCTTGTAAACTATTTATAACTTTCTTTCATTACTCCGAAACTAGGTATGTTGTTTAGTAATTCCCTGTGAATAACAGTATCGAAAGCTTTTAAAAAAAATCTAAAAATACTACAATCGGTTTATTATTATTAAGTGCATCATAAATATTTTTAATTACCCCGTATGAATCATCTGTTGCACCTAAGCCAGGTCTAAAATCAACCTGATTATTAGAAAGCTATTTATTATTCTCTAAAAAATTAATTAGTCGTGACTTGACTATTTTTTTCAAGAATCTTTGCAAAATTGCTAATCAAATAAATTAGCCTATAACTGTTTGCTGCTTGTTTATCACCATTTTTAAAAAGTGATATAACAATAGATATTTTAAACTGTGATGGAACTATTCCTTCTTTCAGGCTTAAATTATAAATATAGATTAAAGGATCAATAATGAACTTTTTTATGTGTTTAAATAGTTTTACTGATATATTATCATAATTGCCGCTGTGTTATCCTTAAGATTATTTATTAGTTCCATAACTTCAGTTTTATTCACAGATTGAGTAAAAATAATGTCAAAATTTATTTTATGAGGATAATGTATTTCTGTATTTTCAGATTGGCTAAATTTTTTAGATAAATTCATATCAATTCTTGCATAAAAGTCATAAATGTATTAAACACTATAGTAGGTTCAGTTTGAACAACTAGTATTTTATTATGAACTTTTAAAGATCTTATAGTGTCTTTATTAAATATATTTTTACTTGTAATTTCATTTTATTAGCTTCCACGTAACTTTAGGGTTATGCGATAAAGATAAAGAGTTAAATTAATTTTAGACTATTTTATCAATAAGTTAAGTTTATTTCTATATAATTTATATAATTTCATTAATGAGTTATTTGAAGGGTGTTTTTTTACTTTTTTCAAAAGTTCGTTTTTTTCCGCGTAGAACACAACAGACCTGCTATCATCCAATCATTATTTTTGTTTGTTTTTGAACGTAATTTGTAAAATTTTCAATAATATCTGTTATTTTATCATACAGATTTTTAACTGCATTTTCAATATTAGAAGATAGAGTCCCAAGCCTCCTTTTCAATATTAGATTTAATTAAGTCATAATTATAAACTTTTATAAAATTATTACTTTGGTGTTAATCTTTATTTAATGAAATTATCGGACAGTGGTCTGTTGAATATTATTTAAAATGACTTCATCGTTGCATTTGATAAATATACGATCAATAAAAGTACGTGTTTTGTTTAAAATAAGTCTAGTATATACACTGATAATCGAGTAATGTCCATTCGATGATAACATATATAAATATTCATTATTTACATTTTTGTCACCAACTATATTAATATTCATATCTCCTATAATGAGTGTGCGGTCACATAGAGATTTATCATTATTTAATATTTTATTTAGACAAACCAGAAAATCATTATTATTAAGTGACGGTAACCTATATAAACACAAAATATTAGTTGGAACATTCTACATTAATATCATATTATAATGAACCTCCTGTCATATTTTCACACAGTTTTGTTTAGTCTAACAATTTTATCTAAAAAGTAGATACTTACCAAATTAGTATATAATAATATAAGTTTTCTGTCAAAACTTCAAGTTTCTACGAATATGTTTAACTGGATTACATTAAAAACACAAAATTTAAAATAATAAAAGAACTATTTTTGTAAATTTTCCTGTTCTTTCTACGTTTTTTTTTTGGTATTGCTAAATTATTAAAAAAAATTTTTGAAAATCAAAAAAATACTTTTTTATTCATTAACTAGATTAAAAATTTGACAAAAATATTTCTCGTTGTTTTTCTATTGGAGCAATATTTCTGGTTGAAAACGAATGCATAACAATTTAAAAACAAGGAAACCCAGTGCAGTAAATTTATTATTTTACGTTATTTTCCGGGATTTCTCAATTATAGTAAAAAAACCAGCACTAAAATCAATCTACCAAATCGTATTTGATAATCTACTGAAAAAAAATGTACATCAAATTTCTAAAACCATCAAAACTACTTATTTCGAAACGAAAGTATCGGAGTAATAACAAAAAATATATTATTTATTTTGTCACATATATAGAAGATTTTATAGATTTTTTTTTTTGTTAAAATATATAAGGTTTCTTTTAATATCGTGCAGCATGGCTTTTTCAATCGTTTTATGAAAAATAAAAAATAAACTACTTAAGGAAATATTTTATTGGAAAAACGAAAAGTATTATTATTATTACATGAATTATATTATTATTTTAAGACTGAAACAAATCTCCTAATAAATTGATAGGGCCGAACACGGGGATGTGAAACATAAAATTAAGTGTGGTTGAATTAAACGGAAGGAAGCGTCAGGTGTTTTATGTGACACGGGGATTCCAATGAGACTTAACGGTAAGTTTTACAAGAGTGTAGTGAAACCGGCTATATTGTATTGGTCGGGGTATTTGGCGGAAGACAGACAAATAGAACAGAGAATGACTGTAGCAGAGATGGGAAAGCTTAGGCGGAAAAATGGAGTGATAAAAGAAGATATGATAAGGAATGAGAACATAGCTTAGGTTTGGCTTCGGTAATGGACAAAATGAGAGAAAATAGACTAAGATGGTTTGGGCATGCATTGAGTTGATATAATTCAGAAGCAGTAAGAACCATAATGAAAATAGACTTAGGAGGAAATAGAGAGAGAGAGAAAGATCAAAATAGAAGTAGTTATATGCAATTGAGAATGATATGATGATGACAGGTTAGGTTAGGATAGTAAGAACGATGCGGGGGATCGAGTCAAATGGAAGTTTCACACTAGGGTGGCTGACCCTAAACAAATGGGATTAAAAAGAAGGAAAAGAAGAAGATTATTGTTACCATTACCTATATTATTGTTATTTATTATGTACTATTATTTATTATCTACTATAATGGCCCCCGTTTAAATTCGATCCATCGGACTTGACTTGCAATAACATTGAGTTTTCATGTTTTAGGCCCAGCGTGCATCATATAGGCGAAGAGAAACCTGCAGGATGCACCTAGAATATAAGGTAGGCTTTTGCCCAGAGTGGATGCACTTATTTTGATTCGTACCTATAGCGCTTTGTTTAATAATGTATATAATGTAATAACATTAACAATACACAAATTGAGAGCTTTTGATTATATTATAACGATGATTTTTTTTTGTAAAGTGTTTTCGTTGCATTTTGATACCTACCGAAAACTTTACGCAGATAATATTAACAGCGCAATAATTAATTAATTTTGCCTAATGGTTTGAAAAAAAATATTTTCTTATGTCTGCTGTTTTTCGTGTATTGTGACTGATCCGTGTGATATTGCTTTTTTTTAATGCATTGATAATTTTAAAAATTGTTTTCTTATAGGTGCCGGTTTTGAGAATTTTTCGATTTATCATAATGGAATTTTTCTAAACCGAATTTGACATGATGCATTTACCCAAATATTAATAATATTATACAATAATAATTATAACTGTATGTTCGGTTTTTTATTACTCTTATTACTCTGGCTTCCAAATAAACTATGCTATCTAAATTATCCCCGAAAGCCTATATCATAATCCCGTTTTACGACCAATCCTCCTTTACTATCCATCGTAAAATTTTCCAATTTGGTCCACTTCCTAAAACTAAAATGAACGCAGCAGCTTACATATTGTAATGCATTGAATAGCAAAAGTTGTAATTAATATTGATGTACTGCTGTCTTTTTCGGTATAAATCGTATATTCGTAAACGTATTAATATCTTTCGTGGATTAATTCTAATTCGGTTTTCTACAAACTGTAATGGAGTACCTCAGTCAATGGCTCCGTCTACCCGACTCAATTTATAGTCCAATCGGTAAAGCAATGGCTAGATAAACGAAAAATTCGGGTTCGTTTCTCGATTGGGCTGCCTGATTTTTAGTACTATTTTCCGGACGATAAGATCAGTTTTCCTACTTCATCCTTGACCTTTCTAAATATATTTCTCCTATTGCATTTTGTTTCAGCACTGCCCGTAGTAGTGGGTTTTGGCTTTGCCATGCATGTGCAGCCCATTGTAGTCTTGCTTTTTTTTGACGATCCTTAAAATATTTTTTTCTCCGAACACTACCAGTGATCTCTCTGAATTTCTTTCGTTTTCGCTCTCCAGTTATGTTATCAACTATCATTTACTGTTCCAAAGATCTTCTGCAACATTTTTTCTTCAAGTGCTAAACATTTGTTTATTTTCCTCAATGTCCAAATCCCAGATTCGTACTAGCAATAATTTTTTGGTTGTATATAAGTGTTTTTTTTTGTTTTTTTTCCATATCGGCAGTAACTGTGAACTTAATAACGCCGTACGTTTCTAGCGAAAATAATGAACCCATATAAATCCATTAATTTTGACCCTAATTAAATCTAACTTTTAATTATTTGTCTCAATAGTCTAAACTTGAATATTTTCGTAACCGGCAATCGGTATACATTTAAAAACGAATATTGCAATGTTTAATAAATGCGATTTAGTAAGGTTTTTTTTTTATTAATACAGTTAATTTTACTATGGAATATACAATATTTTATTGTTCTTCACATTGAAATATTGATTTTTTTTTCCAGTTGAATACTCCACTGAATAATAATATTTAACCACACGTAGAATTTAAAGATAATTTTATACGACAAAAAAAAAAGGTCTGTGTGCAATTTGCATTTGCGTAATTACTAATATTAAAACATTAAATTACTATTATTTTATTACTTATATGCCTATACATTCTAATACTTTATAGACAACGATAATAGTATTCATCTCACGGATATTTTAATTTATTGTGAACTACTTTGTAAATTCCTCCGTGTCTGTCAGAGATGGCTCTTTGCGAATTTCGAAACGCGGTGTTCACTGAACGATTAGTTAGCCTCTAAAAAATGTCGCTATTGATTTTCAATTGTTTTACTCGTGAAAGAATTGAAATTATAATTCGGCACCCCGGTTTGTATCGGTTTATTTAGTATAAAAATAATATCATACATATTTGTTGTAGGTACATCAGAAAAAAATACCTATTTACTAAGTGTTGTGTGTATAATGAATTTGTTTGACGTATTTACGTTTAAAATCTAAATCTTTAAAAATTTGACGTATGTTGTTGTTATAGTGATGAATTTAGAGTCACGACTAGAATTTATTATATCGTAAAATATTAGCGTGGAGTAGCGTGGAATAATATACATTGTAACGTAATTGCATAATTAGTAATAATATGTACTTACAATTTAAAATAAACGTTTGGTTGTTTTGAAATTCTACCGTTGTCTAGTGGTTGAGTATATACACATCAAAATTTGACTGCCAACTGAAACAATAATATACGCGATGATAGTAATAACAATATTATTTATTTTAAAGCCACAAAGTTTCTAATTGGGTATTATATTATTATATACAGGGCGATTCTTGTTATAACTCAGCCGTTATCTACAAATATTTCGGGTAAAATAGATGTTTGTTTTTTTTTTGTTTTTTTTTTTGTCAGTCGTTAAAATAATTAACATTCAGTGATATCATTCTCGATATTTTCGAAAAGTCAGCCTAATTCCGAAGGTTAACACATGTTAAAATTTCAAACTGGATAATAATAGTCCAGAAAAAGTGTTAAATACATCAATTATCTCTGCACAGGAAAAAATATATAATTACATTAAAACAACTTTTTTTTATTTTCGACAACGCTTGGTACAACAGTCAGGTAGAAATTACTTAATATTATAACTATATTACCAATTAAGCACTTATGACAAGGGAGACATAGACTTCTTTTTTGAATTTTTTTTTTTAAACAATATTTTACTTATTTCCATATTTATCGTTGAATTGTTACCTGTAATTCAGCTATGCTTATTATCACCGTACAAACTGAATAAATAAATATACTTACTTTTGAATTCTGGTCAAATTATTTTTTTTTTTTTTTGTGTTCGTGGCCATCATTTATTAATGTGGTTTGTAAAAACCCTCTTTTCGCACAGTTTATTAAACATGATAATAATCAATGACACACGTATTCGTTCGTTATCATCATATTATTATGATATCTATACTCAATTTGATTGCGTCACGTAATATTATTGCTCCATAGTGGGGTAACCTAATCAGCGATTAGTAAAATTATCTATTTGTTATATCAAATGCTATAGACAGAAATACGGTAACCTCTGTAGAAACTTTTTGACGTACTACAAAATAGTACTACAAAATCTAGATGGTTGTCTATTTAGCCCCTTAAGCCTTTTAGTTCGAAAAATACTTGAGTTCACAGGGAAACGTATAGGCAACCGTCAAAGATAATTGAGTGCAAAGTAAATAACAGTGTCCTCGAAAAACGAACTACTCGTATTGCCATCTATATTATTTTGTTATGAATTTATACTTAAGGTGCTTATATTATATTAAATTGTATACAAAATCATATTTTGTAGTGTCTCTATTTGAATAGTTTATTTTGTTAATTATGCACTTATTTTCGTTATCGTAATTTTAAATGTCCGTTATTCGAGAAGTATCCATCAGAATTAACAAATTATAATATACGTGCAAATTCTTTAGAAAAATATTCCGAACTTGAAATTATCAACGTTATCATTTGAAAATAGTTTTAATGATAAAGCTTCCACGATTCTATAATGCAACAAAACCACAGACCTCAAATATACTTACCTAATATCCGCCGAGAAAATCCATCAGTAGGTCTACATTATTTTTGGCCTATTTTCAATAACGATCGCCTAAACACTGTCTAAAATACGCCCGTTGTCATATTACGTTTACGTTTAATACAAATTACATTTCCGAGACAAACTTATTTTAAAATGTTAAGATCAGCATGTTATATTCCCTGAACAAAATCCTAAAACAATCAAAGTTAAGTGTACGAAACGTATTTGGTATTGTGCGCTCCTATAGTCATCATCACACCAATCGCTTCAGAATATATTTTCCGGCTGGTCGCGCCGGACCGATTTATAATATTATGCATAATAATGGTTTTTCCCGTACTTTTATTATTTTTCAATAATTTTCTCGCTACGAATTCCAATATTAACGTTGTACCGTGCAAATGTTTTGAAATAGATTATAAATATCAGTCATCGCCACGGTTCCGATGGGGAATGACAACTATTACGTTACATGTTACCGTTTCTTTGCGGTCTCTATCTTTTCACCGGCAAATCGCCGAAACCCGCTCCGTCATTTCTATATTATTTTTTACGCGTACATAGAATATCCGAACCCTTCATAACGACGCGTGCACATAAAAACCACCGGAGTCACGTTATTTTACGAGCGGTTCTGTTCTCTGTATACCTACACATTGGCGGGGAAACCGCCGCACTCGTCCTATTAACGATAATAATAATATGTCACTCGTTGCAGAAAACGCTCGACGGCGAAGACTAAAAAGACGGTGCCGCCGGCATTTTCCGTTTTCGTTTTGTATAATAAATCACGATCCGAATGTCGGCTTCTTAACTCGCCCGTCTTTTATTCTTCTTCTACTTTTATTTTCACAT